GCGAAGATTTCTGCTTGGAATACAGTAGGGAACTCCCCCAGACTGTAGCTTGCACTCCATCTGGGTCTGAGTCCATATATTCCTGCACCCGTCCCTCTGGTCATTTTGGAGCCATCTGTAAACCATACTAGGCTCCACCTTTCCAGGGTATTAAACCTTTCCTCCCACTTGCTTTGATCCTCTATTCGAGTCTCAAATGGCTTGTGGAAGTGAAACCTTGGGACCATCTTGTCGGATACCATCCCAAGAGTTGGTTCCGACATAGATGTGTCTATGATCCTGGAGTGGGAATCACCCCTCCAGTCATTGTTATGTATCTACTTACTTTAGCATAAGATCTCTTTCTTTTATTTTGTGTAAACCGAGGTATACCTGGGGGAAACTGATTACATAACTAGATATTAATTTGTAGCATATTATATATTTTATTTTTGGGTACTTCATAAGGCCAGTGATAACCCTACTTCGTTCTGTCACTTGAAACTTGATCATAAAACATAAAATGCAAAACGTACCGATGCAGATTGCAGATATGCACCGAGGGTGCGTTCACGACTAATTGTGCAATCACTTGGGTAATAGGTTTGTTCGTACGAATATTAAGTATTCGTCCTCATAAAACAGTGGAGTCTCTACCGGGGCGATTTTGAAAGATTAATAAAGAAATCTTTTGTAAACTGAACTTATTTCTTTGTCTTATTATATACCCATTTATTTATTTATTTTGTTTTTTTTGTTTGTCACCACATTCGAATCCACGAATAATTCTCAAATAACTATAATATTGAAAACTACTCTCCCCCCCCCCAAACGGTGTCAAATTATGTGCTCGACTTTTGGCTCGCTCTACCTATATTCAACTGTTGCAATAATAAAGAAATAGCATTTTCTCGTAAAACTGTACCAATATCAAAAAGTTATGCCTGCAAAAAATTATTGTTAAGTTGTTCTGTCTAGGTTATACAGGACGCTAAAATGGGAATGATTCTCGTATACAATTGACCATAACTTTTGCAATACCCTGTATAACATAATTAAATCCTATATTGGAAGCATGGGAGAGATGAGCTTAATCTAAATTTGAAATAATATATAGAACTTAAAGAATAGTAGTAGTGACTATTCGATTGTAAGTTCAACATGCATCTGTAAAATCAGCCATGAAGACAACTCAATATTTAAATTACAATGGTTTTTCAGGTTGATATGCCAGCTGCACTTCCTTAGCATTGGCATTTGACCTGCCCTTGTTGTTCTCGGATAGAGCCTGTGGGGGCGGACCTGCTATCAAAAACTATAGGTTCGCCCTGATGTACATTTCCGTTCTTGTTGTTGATTCTAAGCTGCTACTGGTGGTCCTCCGAGACGTTCTGTAGTGATCTCTGTAACTGGTCACATCCAATGTGTTTCCAAACGTTTCACTGTTCTTCACTGTTGGTACCTTCAGTGGTGACTCTGCAAAGCATTGCCACAACTGAAACCTACAGAGCCTAGCCCAAGCACAAGAGCAGGTCAAATATTCCTAAGACAAAGGTAATTCTATTTGTAAGTGGCTGCGATCAGTTACATAGGCCACAGCATAACTCCAAAAACCATTGTATTTTAAATCTTAACATAGGCTGTGAAAGCCATAAAATCACATTACACATGAATATTTTTAAAAATTTTTCTTTTGCCAGCTCTGTAGTGGGGATACCTAACAGTACACTTTACAGTAGTAACAGTATTGTGAACAGTTCAGCAAAGATGTAATTTTCCATTTAATATTTACATTGCATAGTCATTTGAAAATTGTATTTCGTGAATATAGGTGTGTATTATTATTCATAAATAGTTAACTAACTCTTGTGAATAAAATTCATATTTTTTTTCTTCAGTTACGATCTAAGAACACTAAAGTGCCAACTGGCAAATATACTTTGCACTTCAATTTCGCATAATTAGATTGGCTATTTCATCCTATTATTTTTGCATTCAGTAATAAATTACCATTTGTAAGTGTGACTTTCACTTAGATGCACACGAGCACTGAATGGATATATCGATTTTCCTAAATATTCCTGTCCATCTAGATAAAAAACTTTTAAGGTGTATTGAATCTTGTTACTCAGATCACTGCTTAATTCTTCCTTCTACCTTTTTGTCCAATTCATTTATCAAAAAAATGTCATCTAGAAAAATTTAGTTGTTATACATTTTTGGAAAGTGTTCCAAAGCTACCTACAGTTCTTCCCAACTATAGATTTTTTTGTGGATGGTGAGTGTAAGATTTGTGTGTCATAAAGGTTTTCATGTCCCTGGTTTGAAGAAGACAGACATAACTTAAAAGTGAACACTCGATTTATAAATTCAAGATATTAGATGTTGCTTTAAATCTTTTTAACATAAATCGGTGACAGTCTTATTTGATTATGTGATGGTTAATACCATAGATTAGCATTATCCATACTTCCCTTCTAATTCTATTTAATTTTTGCCAAAAAATTTGAAAAATAAACGTCACAATAATTTTTAAAATTTGTAAGCTAGTGCTAATATAGCAAACTAGATGTAAATTATAACATTTGTAGTTTATCTGTAACTTTATTAAAATGTAATAGTATATTACGTAATAAGTGTTGTAAAAAGCATTTTATGCACGAATGGAAAAGTTACGCACGACGCCGCCTAGCGGCGAGTGCGTAATTCTATGAGTGCGTAATTGCATTACACCACATATTACATAATATACTTTACCTACGACCACTTCTTTAAATACTTAAAAACACACCGTCTGCGATCAATGCAAGATTCCTATTACGTCGTACGGTAAAAAAATCGCACAGCTTGGTAAAAAAATCGTACAGTTTTCCTAGCAATCGCCTAGCAACGGTCAATACAAACAGTATTGTATTGACCGTTGCTACGCGGTTGCTAGGAAAACTGTGCCATTTTTTTACCGTACGTAATAGGAATCTTACATTGACCGCAGACGGTGTGTTTTTAAGTATTTACAGTAGTGGTCGTAGGTAAACATTATAAATCACAAATTTCTTTATTATTCACTATAAAATTTGGAAACTGTGTTCTTCACCATAAATGAGACATTATTCCTTGTTTCTTTGCTTCTCATAATCCAATCTTACTTAAGTTACATCAAGTATACATGGTGATTCATAGCATAAGTAAAAATTCAGAGGAAGATAGAACATCAAAAATGTTACAAATTTGTATGAAAATAAAACAATCATTGGATATATTACCGCTTTGGTCATAAATCAGACTACTATAATATTTAGATTTGGGTTCATAAGACAAATTTATATTTTATCTATCTCCCTCCGATTTGTTTTACACACACTAAATGTACATTACATGTATAAGTTAAATTAAGAAAAAAAATTTAATGTTCTAAATGCTTTTTTGTCTATAAAAGAACCGTTTTATAAATAGAAATTAAAATTATCATACCTGCAATGCCCTGATCTTTTGCAATTCGTACTTCAGTCCTTTTTTCTGCTGGACTAACACCATCAAAGACCTTTGCCACTAAATGCATGTGATCTGGGTCTAATAAAAATAAGGAACATCTTTCTGCATTAGTCAATCTTCTTGCTTCTGACATAATTTCTTTCAGTAAATCACTAAGGTCACCTAAATGTGAAAACAGCTTTCTCGCTACAGAAAGTAAAGACTGACATTGTTTTTTTAATCGTCTCTCTTCCTCACATTCTCTTGTATTCAGAAGTAGGGTCAGAAAATATTTAAAACTTTCATCAACTAATTTTGATATGAATGTCTTGCTTTTTGCTGAATTCACAAAGCAAACTAAATAGACAGGACAAACTATAGGTTTCTCAGGTTTTTTAGCTGAAAATATTCGTTTCATTTAAAAAGAAAGAAATCTCAAAGAAAAGGTGGTGGGTCGATTTGGGCGGTTTTTGCCCCATTTTGTTTTAGCGATAAAAAATGTGAAAAAATTCCTGTAATATCTACTACCAAAAATGAGTCGATCTGACCCGAAACGGACCACCCACTCACCACCCAGTTTCCCTGTAACACCCCCGCAAATACTGGAAATACCGTCACTAGATAACATCATTTTGGAGAGATTCGGCGCTGTAAAACTGGATAACTCGCCTCGATCACCGTATCCTTGGGTTTTTGGGGTTGCTGATCACGAATCCGTGGTCCATTAGCCTCCACCAGATGTATTTCAAGGTCATTTGAAGGTCAAACTGAGAAAACGCTGATAAAAAAACATAAAAAATATATCTATGGGCCTCGAATTCGTGATCAGCGACCCCGAAAACCTAAGGAACTATTTTTATATTTGAATCTTATCTGATGGAGACTAATGAAATGGGACCACCAGATTGACCTCCAAATAACTTCGAAACTAATCTCACAGAGGTTAATGGACCCCGGATTCGTGATCAGCGACCCCGGAAACCCATAGATATATTTTTTATGTTTTTTTATCAGCGTTTTCTCAGTTTGACCTTCAAATGACCTTGAAATACATCTGGTGGAGGCTAATGGACCACGGATTCGTGATCAGCAACCCCAAAAACCCAAGGATACGGTGATCGAGGCGAGTTATCCAGTTTTACAGCGCCGAATCTCTCCAAAATGATGTTATCTAGTGACGGTATTTCCAGTATTTGCGGGGGTGTTACAGGGAAACTGGGTGAGTGGGTGGTCCGTTTCGGGTCAGATCGACTCATTTTTGGTAGTAGATATTACAGGAATTTTTTCACATTTTTTATCGCAAAAACCGCCCAAATCGACCCACCCTCTTTCTTCATAAAAGTTTAATGTCAAATTTGAAAATGAAATTACTTACCTCTTCGTTCCATTGCCAACACAGGAATAATTGTAACAGTTGATTCTTTTGGAACAATTTCGTCAATTAATCCTTGAATTTTGGGATCTAAATTATCAGCACATTTTAAACTGTGATCTTTATATTCTACTATATTGCTAATGGCTTCTTCTGATAATGGAATAATAATACCAGAATCCAATATTTTATCCATTACAACTTGCACTACTGCTTCTTCGGAGACATTTAGTAAATTAATTAAGAAAACTGTAGATGATTCAGACACAGATTTTAGCTGTAAAATATTAATAGCTAGTTATAAGTGTATATATATATATATATA